TGCGGGCCGCGGCCCCCGAGGAACGTGCGCGGTCTGAGCCTGGGAGGGGTTGTCTTTAATTTTGACTCCTTTTGAGAAACAGGGGCTCGTGCGCGATCCGGGCGCAGGATGGGTGCACGCGGGTTGGGGGAAGGGAGAGACGGATGGGAGTGGGCTGCAGTGGTGTCTGCGACGCGGAACTTTCTCCGTGGGGAGGCAGGTGTCTGCGACTTTGTTTCTTATCTACAGGCGTGGGGATGTGTTGCCTGTTCTGTGTGACTTTGGTACTTAATCTGTGCGTGGGAAAGTGTTCTGTGCCTCGGGTCCTTAGGAGTTGGAGGAGGAGGAGGAGGAGGGAGAACGGAAAACATCTCTGTGACCCTGGTCTTTATCCTTGGAGTGTGTGTCTAACTCTGGTCCCTCCCTGTTCCTGGGAGAGGTCTTTATCCATAAGGAGTCTTCTGGCGACTGGCCCTAACCTGCCTCCTGGGCAGGGAGGGAATGCAAGGAAAGGGTGTGTGACTTATTGCCCCTTCTTGGAGGGCTGTCTGTCTGTGCCTGTGATGTTCATCCATTGAAATGGGGTGCTGATGGCCCGTATTATTGTGGGTTCCTGTCTGTGATTTTGGCCCATAGTTATTTGGGGCGCGTGTCTGACTAGCCCCCATCTGTTGTGGATTCCGGTGTGTGACTCTGGCCCCTTTGCCAGAGTCTAATGAGGGTTTTGTATGGACACTTATCCACTGGGGCCCCTGGTTGTGATTCTAACTCTTACCCATCTAGGAGGAGGTAACTCTGGTTCCCTGTGGCCTGAGGAGGAAGAGAAAATTGGGGTGTGTGTGTATTCATGGAGGAAAGGTGTGGTGGCAACCTAGTGCTAGGTAGGTGCTGTTACTGCCTGGATTTGCCTAATTGCTGTCCAGAGGGCAGGCCTGAAGATTCTGGGATACTGCCTGGTGACCCCTGGCCAGGTCACATGGCTCTCAGGACTTCCTTGGATCTCAAGCCCCGAGGGTTGGGTGAAATGACCGCCCTTCTGAGTAGAATAGCACAGTGCTTGGGAACAGCCCCCGGCAGGGCTCCTTTTGCCTCTGAATAACTTGGGCCCAGAACCCTAGGGAGAGCTGCCTTGGGACCTGGCTGCACATAAGAGACAGCACTCAGGGCTGAGCCAGTTGCCCTGTGGAGGGCCAAAGCTGTGTTGGCCAGGAGCCCAGGGAGGCGGCAGCTGTCTCATTGCCAAGTTAGCCCCTTCACCCCCTAAGCCTTTCCTGGTCTACTGCTCTCTTGTAAGGGGCAGCCAGCATCTTGTTGGGAGGATGAAGGGGCACCCGGGGACCCATGGCAGGAGCCTGGTGGGTGCCTGGGACTGCTCCTGTGCAGCCTCGCATCCATGCCTCATGTGCCTGATCTCTAACAAGTCATTCAGCACCCAGAGCTCCCGTAGGCAGGTAGCTCCGGCCTTGAAGGTGTCTACCAGTTTCAGATGTCAAAGCTCCGGATCACAGAATGGGCGATACCACCAGGTCTCTCTCTCTGCAGGATGCTCCGTGTCTGCTGAAGGCCTTGCTCGTTCTAGGGCAGTGAGCTCTAGCCTCACGTTTGTGGGGAAAGGAAAGGAGCAGACCAAGTCGGGGCCCTGGAGTTGAGAAACAACGTCCCTGGACCAAGAGACAGCAGAGAGCCTTGACAACAAGTGTTTCTCAAGGAGGCCCTCTCTGCCCCAACTGCTTTGACCCCTTTCTTCCTGCCTCTCTCCCCAGAGTCCCTGCAGGAGGCATCACCCAGGCTGGCAGATCATGGTGGCAGCAGCGGGGGTGGCTGGGAAGTGAAACGGAGCCAGCGGCTGAGGAGGGGCCCTAGCAGCCCCCGAAGGTCCTATCAGGACATGGAGTATGAAAGACGGTGAGTTACCGGCTTCCTTCCGCCTTGACCAAACAGCCTAGGCCCGTCCCCGTGTGAAGAACTGATCCAGGAAGGTACTAGGAGGAGGCTCTCAGGCTGAGGAGACAGTGTGAGCCAGGACCAGTGTGCTAGGCTCTGGGAGTGCCCCGGTGAATGAGACAGAAAAGATTGCAGCCTTCTCTCTATTACTCGGGGTCTCACAGCAGAGCCCACACAGTTTACAGGTGATTCCGAAACAGTTGGATGGGTGCCACAGTTGTGAGGGTAGGAAGGGATCAAGAGAAAGGTGTTTCTACTTTGGGGGACCCAGATAGGTATATGGTGCCATTCGCCAAGGTCTGAACAGCCACTGTGGGAGGAGAGGCAGAGATGGGTAGTGGGTTGTAAGTGCCTGTGGATTCTCGGTAGAGGTGTGAGCTGTAGCTTTGGGTTGAAGGGATGGATGAGAGTGGTGCTTTCAGAGTCAGGAATTTGCCAGGACAAGTATGGGGCAAGCCAGGTCAGATGGTGGGAGATTTCAGAGGCAGAGTGGGCTGAAGTTGGCATGATACTTGCCTTGGAATGGGGCACTCATGTAGTTATTTTTAAACTCTGGTAGAGCAAGAAACAGTTGGGACACTTGATAAAATACAGACTTCCCAGGCCATTCCCTCACCATCCTGCTGTATCACCCCAGTTTATTCTAATGAAGGTGATCTATTCTTTACATATTAGGATTACGTAGGAAAGCAGACCTCTATTAAGAGTCAGTAGATTTATAAAAAGTCAGGAAAAAATATTTTTTAATGTCCTGTAAGGGTCTTCTTCTACCAACAGGCCCTTTTAAAAATGTAGAATTAGCCCTGGCCAGTTTGGCTCAGTGGGTAGAATGTTGGCCCGTGGACTGAAGGGTTCTGGGTTTGATTCTGGTCAAGGGCATGTACCTTGCGTGTGGGAGGCAGCCAATCGATGTGTCTCTTTCACATCTCTCTCTGTGTCTCTCCCCCTCCCTTCCACTCTCTCTAAAAATCAATGGAAAAATATCTTCGGGCGAGGATTAAAAAACAAAAAAAGTAGAATTATAATATTTTGTTTTCTGAAAAGTGAAGCCCACATTGAGATGTGTTATTCAGCCTTGACCTTCTTTATAAATGTCTTTTGAAAGGCATTTGATTTTGGATGGGATTCGCTAGAAGTGCTCTGTGGCCGTTTCTGAGTGGAAGTAGGTGACATAACTTGCCTGCTTCAGACTTTATTACCAAATAAAGCCACTGGCTTTCTTTTTTGGGCTTTTAAAGGACCTCAAGTGCAGAGGTTTGAGTTAATCACGCTTGTCTAGTTCACAGTAAGTTTCTATCGTAGGTCAGTACAAAGGCCTTCTCTTGCCTTATCTTTCCCTTTTTAGTCCCAATTCCCGTAGCTGTAGGCAGCTTAGCTTCTCTGTCGTGTTTGAAATGTATTCTTTGAAAATATCTAGTGTTGTTTAGAGCTGTCTGTGTTTTCACTTTCCACAAATGACACAGTGTTATAGTCTTCATTTTTTCCCCCTGAACTTTGTATAACTCAGCACTGCATTTTTTTAAAAGATCTGTCTGTATTGCCATGTGTATATTAGTGTTTTGCTTCTAATTGATCCCAAAGACACCATAGGATATGCCTCCTGCATTTTGCTTAATGATTCCCCCAAGGATGGATACCTGCTCTTAATTTGAGGGCGCTAAAATTCATCATCACTTTTTTGTCTTATAATTTGTGCTTTCAGAATCTTCTGTGTTCCTGCCTCTGGATTGCAACAATTGTTTTCACTGTATAGTTTTACCTTACTCATTCAGGTCTTTAAATTCAGTTTTGAATATGGTATAAGGTAGATTCTGGTCTTATTTTCCTTCATATAGTGGGCAGTTTCCCTAGGACCATCTCCTAAATAGTAGTACCTCATCTCATTTCAAGTTACCTCATGTACATGGGTCTGTCCTGAGCGATCTAATTTGTTTCATTGATTTACTTGTTCTTTCTTGTGCTAGAACCTTACTGTCTTTATTATTATGGCTTTATAGACTGTCTTTTAAAAATATATATATTTCATTGATTTTTTACAGAGAGGAAGGGAGAGAGATAGAGAGCTAGAAACATCCATGAGAGAGAAACATGGATCAGCTGCCTCCTGCACACCCCCACTGGGGACGTGCCCGCAACCAAGGCACATGCCCTTGACCAGAATCGAACCTGGGACCCCTCAGTCCACAGGCCGACGCTCCAGCCACTGAGCCAAACTGGTCAGGGCTAGAATGTATTAATAGCTCCCACTTTGCTCTTATTTTTCAGAGTTGATTTAGCCAAGTCTCTCAAAAACATTTAAGAATTTTTATTGAGGTTGCATTGAATTGATATATTAATTCAGGGAGTATTGTCAGTTTTGTTGCCTTTCTCTTCTCCTCCTCTCCCCCTTCCTTCTTGCTTCCTCTTCCCTCTCACCCCCTCCTCCCATATAACATTTCCCCCCCACCACCAATCATTTGAGTTAGTGGCAGACATGACCCTTAAGTACTACAGCATGTATGTCGTAAGAACAAGGACTTTTTTCCTCCATAACCACAGTACACTTGTCAATATCAGGAAATTTAATGTTGATGCAATACTTTGTCTTATATAAAGTCCATATTCAGAAGTTATCAGTTGTCCCAATAATGTCCTTTATAGCTGTTTCTCCCTAGTCCAGGATCCAGTTCAAGATCACACACATTGCACTGAATTTTTAGTCTCCTTTAATCTGGAAGAGTTATTCAGTCTTTCTTTGCCTTTTATGACCTTGATATGTTTCAAAAGTACAGGTCAGTAAAGTACAACATCAGGAAACCTATATAATAAAGAGGTAATGTACAGATTGACCATCACACCCTCGCACAAGATGGCTGCCCCCATGTGGTCAGAGATGGCCAGCAGGAGAGGGCAGTTGGGGAGGACTGAGCCAACAGGGGTGGGCAGTTGAGGGCGACCAGGCCTGCAGAGGAGGGCAGTTAGCGGCGACCAGGCTGGGAGGGGAGGGCAGTTATGGGTGACCAGGCCAGCAGGGCAGGGTAGTTAGGGGCGACCAGGCCTGCAGGGGAGGGCAGTTGGGGGCGACCAGGCCTGCAGGGGAGGGCAGTTGGGGGCGACCAGGCCTGCATGGGATGGTAGTTGGGGGGAACCAGGCCTGCAGGGGAGGGCAGTTGGGGGTGACCAGGCCGGCAGGCGAGGGCATTTGGTGGCAATCGGGCTGGCAGGGGAGCAGTTAGGCATTGATTAGGCTGGCAGGGGAGTGGTTAGGCGGTGATCAGGCTGGCAGGCAGAAGCGGTTAGGGGCAATCAGGCAGGCAGGCAGGTGAGCGATTGGGAGCCAGCAGTCCTGGATTGTGAGAGGGATGTCCGACTGCTGGTTTAGGCCCGATCCCACAGGGCAGTCGGACATCCCTCGAGGGGTCCCAGATTGGAGAGGGTGCAGGCTGGGCTGAGGGACACACACGCCCCAGTGCACAAATTTCATGCACCGGGCCTCTAGTATAGTCAATAATATTGTGATAACTATGTAGTGGATATGGTACCAGGTAGGTACTGGAAATATCCAGGGGGAACACTTTGCAAAGTACAGTGGAACCTCAGTTCTCAAACTTAATTCCTTCCAGAAGGCTATTTGAGAAGCGATTTGTTCGAAAACCAAATAATTTTTCCTATTAGAAATAATGTAAATTGAATTAATCTGTTCCATACCCCCAAATGATTCCCTGTTTTAACCTTTCTTATATACAGTACATGTCTAATGTACTGTTTAATCTATAAACAAACACTTCTTTTCTTAAATTTATCAAACCACCCTACTAGCCTTACTTACCTCACTTTCAGCACTCGGTCCAGGGGTGTCTTTCAGGTCAGCATGCAGCATCTTTGCTTGCTCATATATCACTGCCTCCGTAATGCTGACTGCTTTTTATTTCTCCAAATCAACAGTTTTTCTACCTCTTCAATTGTCTGTGATCATTGTTTCTTTCACGCCCTTAGCAACATTACCAATCTTTAAAAAAAAATTATCTTTATTGCTACAAGTATTACAGATATCCTCTTTGTTTGTGGGTTTTTTTCCCCATTGACCCCCTCCACCTCATACCCACCCCTCCCAGGCCTTCACCTCTCTATTGTCTGTATCCATGGGTTTTGATCAGATGGAATCAATGGACATTTTCGGAACATTTCACCCCAAAGCTGCAGAATATACATTCTTCTCAAGTGCACATGGGACATTTTCATAGACCACATGTTAGAACACAAACTAGGTCTCTACAAGTTCAAGAAGATTGAAATATCAAGCATCTTCTCACATCACAATGGCATGAAATTAGAAATCAATTACAGTAAAAACACTCAAAAACATTCAAACATATGGAGGCTAAATAGCACGTTATTAAATAATGAATGGGTTACCAAAGAGATTAAAGAAGAAATAAAAAAACATCCTGGAAACAAATGACAATGAACACACACAACAACCCAAAATTTATGGGACACAGTGAAAGCAGTCCTGAGAGGCAGTTCATAGCATCACAGCCCTACCTCAAAAAACAAACAAAAACAAACTTTTAATAAGTTATCTAACCCCACAACTTAAAGAATTAGAAAAGAAATCGAGAAAAGCCCAGAGTAAGCAGAAGGAAGGGAATAATAAAGATCAGAGTGGAAATAAGTGACATAGAGACTGAAAAAAAAAAGATCAATAAAACCAAGAGCTGGTTCTTCAAAAAGATAAACAAGATTGATGAACCTGTAGCCAGACTCATCAAGAAACAAAGAGAGAAGACCCAAATAAACAAAATCAGAAAAGAGAGAAGTGAAATAACATTACCACTCTTGGTGGCCTCTTTACGTTTTAAAATTGTGCTAATGGTTGATTTCACCAGCATGAAAGCATTCTCTCGTCTGTTGCCTGAGACATGCTTCTTTTTGTCATGCTGATACCTCAGCATGAAAGGGGTGTCAGGACAAAAACCGAA